TCCCGTCGATTTTCAACAAATAAAAGACTAATAGTATTACTAGAAAATAGAAATACATTTAAATGGTTTTGACATAAGGCCACACAAACCATTATTTTTAAATCCAAAATTTATCGCTTTATTTATCGCCTTCGTTCTTAACTTTTACAATTTGCTGAATGCCGATTTTGCAATTTGCCGAACAGTAACAAAGCAATTTGCCGACTGGGGCCGACTTTCGAAAATTATTGGGGGGTGAAGCACCCCCCCCCCCCACCCCCCTCGCTCGCGACGGCCCTGATTGTTAAACACTACAAATCTTAATGAGCTAATTCAGGTTAGCGCGGTGCATGTAATCGCAATTCAAAAGTGAACTCGCTTAGCCGGGACAACTCGGCAAAGCGGGACAACTCGGCCCATGTAATCAGCCCCTTAGTATGATTATATAATGGTTCATCCTAATTAGTATTCTTTTGCAGTCATATTTTAAGCCATTTTAAGTCCTACGCGTGCTTTAAATAGTACTTAAAAGTTGTCGATTTCCAGACGTAAAAAAGCGGAAATTGCACGGTGTTGCACTGACAATGCACGCGCAAAGAGTTATATGTTCAGAGGCGTAGCCAGGATTTTTGGTCAGGGTGGGCCAGCAAAAACCTACGGGGACCAGGCTTCACTTATTTTTATAGAATGAATTTTCTCAGGGGGAGGCCAAAATTTTACCAGGCAGGACCGGGCTCCCCGGCTCCGCCCTGGCTATGCCTCTGTGTATGTTAAACTTTACAGTTACTTCTTGCAGAAAAAGCCAACTAACATGTAGACAAACATTCTTATACAATTCATACACCTATACGTGTTTATCAAAAACAGTTACAACTGCAGTCAGATATCGATTGATTTTTTTTTTCATGCAGCAGGCCTAGTCTTGCTTGCGATCTCTGCATTTAAATGATATTTCAAAATGCGTACAAATTGTTTTCATCATACTAACATTGAAGACTTGGAGCTTATTCCAGTTATATTCATATCCCAAAGTCGTACACGTCGTATATAATCGGATGTTGTACCTGTAAGCTCTCAGCGATTTCTTTCAAGACATCCCTTCGATTTTGTTCTTCAGTTTCAGCTTCTAGTTCATCGATTAATTCTTCTCCAATTTCTTCTGAAGTCGCATCTAATGCTTGTTTGTTTCCAGCTTTCCTCATGAATGCTGCAAGGCGTAAAAAATGCTTTTTATTTGCTTTGATGTTAGCCATTCTTCACGAGTAAATCGCCTAGAATTATTCTCTTTTCTCGAATTTCTCATCTCAATTTCTTCATTTCCCAGATTAGCTTTCTTCCCACTTTTCTCACCGGCATCAAACTTTGGATGGGATGGATGTTAAAACAAACTTCTGTTTCAGTAAGATTCTGAGCAAGAAGGTCCGCGACCACCTCGCAGCAAAGTTTGATGCCGGTAAGAAAAGTGAAAAGAAAGCTAATCCGGGAGATGTAGAAATTGAGATGAGAAATTCGAGAGAAGATAATAATTCAAGGCGATTTACTCGTGAAGAATGGCTAACGTCAACGCTAATAAAAAGGTTTTTCACGCCTTGCAGCATCCAGGTGAAAAGCTTGAATCAAACAAGCATTAGAAGCGACTCCATACGAAATTGGAGAAGAATTAATCGATGAAGTAGAAGCTGAAGAACAAAATCGAAGGGATGCCTTGAAAGAAATCACTGAGAGCTTACAGGTAAAACATCCGATTATATACGACATGTACGACCTTTGCGATATGTAACCGGAATAAGCTCCAAGTCTTCAATGTCAGTATGATGAAAACAATTTGTACGCATTTTGAAATACCGTTTAAATGCAGAGATCGCAAGCAGACCTGCTGAAAAATATTCAACTAATGATTTCTGACCGCAGTTGTAACTGTTCTTGAGAACACGTACACGTGTATGAATTGTATAAGTATGTTTGTCTATATACCAGCCGACAATTTCAAAAAATATAATACAAAACATAATCCGAAGATAAGCATCTTGAAACCCAAAATATGAGTCAAACAAGAAATGTGAGTCAAACAAGAAAACTCACTTTCTTGTTTGACTCACATTTTGGGTTTCAAGATGCTTATCTTCGGATTATGTTTTGTATTATATTTGTCTATATGTTAGTTGGCTTTTTCTACAAGAATAAACTGTAAAGGTTAACATATACAGAGGTGTAGCCAGGGCGGAGGCCGGGGGCCCGGTTCTCCCTGGTAAAATTTTGGCCTCCCCCTGAGAAAATTCATTCTATAAAAATAAGTGAAGCCTGGCCCCCTATAGCTTTAATTTTTGCTGGCCCACCATGACCAAAAATCCTGGTTACTCCTCTGAACATATAACCCTTTGCGCACACTGCCAGTGCAACACCGTGCAATTTCCGCTTTTTTAATTTAATAGCTATACGTTTTAGACGTGTGATTTATTAGGGTTTGAAACATATCTCAAATCGCTTTGTTTTCCTTTAGTGTGTATACAAAAAGGTCGGCAAACGATATTTAATAAGCGTATACATTTTCCGTTCGCTTGCGTTTTGAAACGGACAACTTTTCTCGCTAATTAGTGCTAGCTCATTAGGTTCGCTTGTAAGCTAAAGATACACATCAAATTGCCTTAATATTGTTCTTAATAACAACTCTGATTGTGAGTTGTTTTTGTTTTTAGAAAGTCGTACAGGATTTATTAGTTAACTCGCGAAAACATGTTGATATAAATAAGTATACACTGGATAGGGCGTGTCAAACTTTTCAAATTTTCTCGTTAATTGAAAACGTAAACAAACGACAAATTTACGCGCTGTACAGTTGTTTTAAAGAGTAATATCAAGACAGCAGAAACATATAAATATTGCAAGAACTTGAGAGGACAATAATGATCCCGAAATATTATAAATAGGACATCCTGAAAACATTAAATGTTCGTCGCAACAGATGTCGAGCATATAAATTCTTTCACAAGTTGATTCTTCCATATAATTAATGATGATAAATCGGTGCGTCACCCCCCCCCCCAAAAAAAAAAATGCAACCAGTCGGCAAAATTCGGCAAATTTATGTCTGTATGAATCGGCAAATCGGCATAAACTGGGAAAATGGAAAATGATAAAAAACTATGAAAACATTTAAAGCATGACTGACATACATGTATCTGTATACTAAAATGAAATAATCTCCCCTACCTCGCCTGTCTAGCTCATTTTCTTGGCAAACGTGCAATAAAGAGCGAAAACAGCAAGCTATTGTAATCTTATCTCTTACGTGAGTGAAATTTGAAACCCGTCTTTTCAAGCAACTACCAAGCATGCTGTCTGTTTCGACTGCTTTCATCAATAAACATGAGCAGCTCAAAACTCGAAAGAAAGACAATAAAACTCGAGTGTCTGGAGTGTCATTCGGGTTTTGATGATGATTACCGCAAAAGACACGAACAGACTTGCCACCAAGGAAAGCGAGTGCGAGTAGCGCATAAAGGCGCACCAGCTAATCCATTCCAAGCAGCCGCTGCGAATGCGAATAAATCAAAGTCAATTCAATCTAGTGAAAAGGTACAAAGCAGTAAAGAAAAGCCGAGAACCAGGAATACATCAGGGATGCTTTTTGCGGAAAAGAAGGCGAAGATGGTAAGTCGATTAATGGTTCAGCTTATTCTTTAGTGCTTCGCAGGTATTGCAGCTTTAGTAACAGCTGTTGCGTCGACCAATTGCCACTTGGTGTGTGCCACGGAGGTGTGAATCCAAGATCGTCTTTCGGTACTCGAAACACACGTGTTATAGCGTGCTATATTTAGGAACGTTTACTCAAGTTTTTCACGTTTTAGCAGCAATCTTACTCGCTAAATTTAGAGAATCTTTTATTATATAGCATTTTGTATTCGTATTTCATTGTAATCTCTGCCTGAGTAAAAAAGCCATTATATAATGACAATAATGTTGAGTCGTAATGTTGCACTTGCCACAGCGTTTCGTTAAGCGAGCGTAAATATATTCCCTATTCTTGCTTTCCAAAACGAAATTGATGGATACTTCACGTTTCTAGTGGGTACACAGGGTGCGAAGGGATGGATCGATAACGCGGGTAGTTCTGGGCGCGGATTAACGATGTGTGATGTGTCCACTACTCGATGAGTGAGCAGAAAGTTTGGCATGGTCACCTTCTGGAAGTTCAGACACTTCAGGCAAACACAAATTGGCTATGAATTCATTATATAAAACTTTTTCGTAGGTCATGCCCAATTCCATCCACAAAAAAGTTACATACCTGATACACAGACGTCCCATACAAGCCAAGAGCCAAAATCACCAATCTCGGTTAGCTCTACAGGAACACAAGATATAGACCCCAATGAGAAAATTAAGATTCAGTCTCCGAGTCTCAGAAATCAGATTGGATCGAATCTGTTGCAAGTCTGTCTTGTATCATCAACAGTTTAATGTATGGTTGTCAAAGAAATGGTAAATTATGCAAGAACATCAGACATTCCTAATGTTGAACAATGGATTGTAGATGCACAGGACACTATCAAACAGGTACAAGAAAGCTGCGGTAGATTCGTATGCTCGCTATTCCACGACGCGCCCTCAAAAGAAAAGGCAGACCCAAGCTGGATAAGTACGGGAGTAAGAAAATGGCACAAGATGAAGAGTGTTGGAAAGAACAAACAAGGAAAACTGGCTCAACATTTCTCGTCGTAAAGTCACAAGGCTTCTTTAACAGCATACTGCCATTATTTAAAGAAGACGAAACATGACATCCAACTGGATATAGTTAAAAGGGCCGCACAAATCCAGGAAGCCGAAGACCTTGAATGCAACCGTAAAGTCATCCACATCCTTTTGGACATCGCAAGAACACTTGCTCGGCAAGCTCTTCCATTCAGGGGTGACAGTAATGAAGAAGGCAACTTTTACCAGTTGGCCCTATTGGCAAGTCTTCGTCGGTGGATATTTTAATCCAATTTGTAACACGCATCTGTATAGTACCCGTGTTGCATCTAGATCAACTTTTTCCTTACCACTTATTCGCACTAATTATGGTTTATTTAATATTCGATTTTGTGGACCTAAGTTATGGAATAATATTGATGAATCACTAAAATCTTTAACTGAATTTTCCTTTAAAAAAGGAATTTAAAAATCAGCTAATCGCCTTCTACTAGAATCAAATTCATTTATCCTTAAATTATCTATTTATAGTATTAGTATCTATATCTATTGGCTCAGTGTGTTTTTCTTTTTTTTTGTTATTGTATTATGTTGTATTGTAACTGGTTTTTGTTTTTTGTTTTGAAATTATGTAAATATTCTTTGAACTAGCTGCTTCTTGTTATTCAGTGTTATTTTTCGGGTATATTAATTTGAAGGTCACTTGCCTAGTCTAGCTCCTTAATAGTTATTGCAGGTGGCCTATACTCACTTCTTGTAAATTCGTCTGCATTATGTTATTTCTGAACTCTTTGTAATTTCTGAGTATTAATAAAAATTGTTGTTGTTGTTGTTGTTGTTGTTGTTGTTGTTGTTGTTGTTGTTGTTGTTGTTGTTGTTGTTGTTGTTGTTGTTGTTGTTGTTGTTGACAGAATGATGAATCCCTACCACGCCACCTATTTGAGTCCTCATTTGCAGAACGAGTTCATCGCTTTGCTCGAAGCAGAACTGAGAGAAAAAGTTGTGAAGAAGTAAAGAGTGCAGGGATGTTTTCTGTGATGGCAGACACAACTTCTGACGAAGAGCACACGGACAGATTTTCTGTTGTTCTTAGGAACGTCAACGACGCGGGAAAGCCAACCGAAAGGCTGCTTGATGTAAGAGAGACTGTTGATAAGAAAGGTCATGGTCAAGCGAAAGACATCCTATCTACGATAGAGCAATGTGGAGTAGATACCGATGACCTATGCTTTCAATCATACGACTTTGCAGCCGCCATGTCTGGTGAGATCAATGTAGCCCGCGTGCAGGCCCAAGGGAACTGATAGTGGGCCTGCAAGCCAGGCCCAGTATTTTGTACTTTCCGCGTTCGCCCACGAACGTGGCATTCTGGTTGGATTCTATAATTAGGTCAGTGATTCATTACAAAGGCTCTCGATAAGCTCAAAATTCGAAAATTGATAACTTTTTTCGATTATAAATGGAACAAGAAGTCAAGAACAGACTGTTTATTGTTTACTTGAAGGAAGAGATGTTTTTGCCGTTGTGCCAATGGGGATTGCTTGTCGTGAGGTGTTGGAATAGCAACATTACGACTGGGGTAAACTATAGTAACCTTTACTTGAGTTTCATTAATTTCAAACAGACTTGATACGTTATATGTTCCTCAAGAAAATTATCTTTTGGTTGATGTTGAGATGCAGTTGCATGTAAGCTTATTCGAAACACTTTGCGATTTACAAGGCTTCGCTGAGAGAGCGAAACAGAAGACGGTATTAAATTGCCGTTTGAAACGAAACGATCTGGACTCTGAACGCTCTCTTCTTGTGTAGAGTTCTTTACCAAATGAAATAACTGAAATAAATTTCGTACTTTCCGCCGCCAACAAGAATTGCACACACGATCTGATAAGTGAGACAATTTATTTATAACAATGGCGACAGCGAATGCTAATGTGGTCGCACGACTTCCCTCACGACTTGAAGCTTGAGACTGGTTTTCTGTTACGATTTTAGTTGAAAATGAGCACTTGCAAATTTGGTAATTACTGACTGCGTTGCTTGCTTTTTTGGAGTTAAAACGCAGCCATTTACACATTGTTTATGTTCTGAATAACATTCTATATATACATACATATATACATACATACATATACATACATATATATATATATATATATATATATATATATATATATATATATATATATATATATATATATATATATATATATATATATATATATATATACAGGGCATTATTTAACTATATAACTGGGGGAGACAAAGCCCCTCCAGCCCCCTTAGTGCCCCCCCCTACTCAACCACTCCCCCACCCCCCGCAGTAAAAGTCCCTTTTCTCTAAAATATAAGCAAAACGTGGAATTTAGAAGGGAGGTTTCATATTCTAGTAACTGAAATTTGCTTTGTGAATCTTATGTTCTGTCTTTTAACTGCTAAACATTGTGTTGTAAATACCTTAATATATTTTAAACATTTTCCAGTGGATTGCATTTCCCATAGCCGATAGATTTGAGTTGTTGGAAGGCTCGACTAAACAAGTTAGTGACCGCAAGGGGTAACGGGCCCCCAACCCAGTGTTTTATAGCGGGGGGGGGGGAATAATTTTGGCGCTCCACCAAAAAATATAAATATATATATATACGAGTAGGTTTGTGTATACGAAACGCAAAGAGTGCTCAATATCATAAAGATAGAGCAAATGTAGAATGTTGCGGAATTTTGAGGTAAGCGAAATTATATATATATATATATATATATATATATATATATATATATATATATATATATATATATATATATATATATATATATATATAATCAAATATCTGTAATCGATATTTTGATACTGACAACATTTCTCGTAATAATTATCCATCCTGACTCACGGATAGCATAGACTCACAAATCATAATGAAAGAATTAATGAAAGGGCCTAACAAAAGAGGTAGAGAAGACTTTGAAATGCCATTTCCGGCGATTTAGAGACAACATTTCCAAAATTTCCCCGCTCTGTGCCAACCATGGTGCCGCTTCGTGGGAGTCAGCCACCTAAGTTTATCAAGCTGGCTCCCTTAGTGACCAAGTTGTGGTATCTACATATCATGCAAGTATTTCACTGAAGCTTCAGTCTATCTACAGCATAATGTAATGCTGCACTTTTTGTTTTCTTCACATCGAGTACAAAACGTGTTCAACCATTGAAAGAGGAAATAACCAAGGTTGAAAACTGTTTAATGCTTAGAAACTTGTCCAAAACGCGATGGAGTGCCAGAGCAGAGAGTATCCAAGCCGTCTGGACATCATTTGATATAATCGTGGATGTACTACAGCAGATCACCAATAAAGCAGATCAACAAACCCAAACGCAAGCAATGGGCTTAAGGAAAAGAATGCTTTCGCTTGATCTTGTTATTGCGCTAATGTTCATGAAGAACATTGCAAATAAAACAAAACGTTTGGTGGTTCAGCACCAAACAGTTGAACTCAACATTCTGGATGCGACTAGCCTTGTGGAAGCTAGTCGCATCAAGACTAGACATTTTTCTCCTTGAGTATCATGGAGAAAATGAGCTGACGACAAAATGATGGACGTTCAGATTGAATCATCCCTAATCTTCGCCAGAAGCCTCGGCATTGATCCAGAAAACGACTTCAACCGACATCACCGTCCACGAAGAGCACCTAGACGTCTGGATGAACAAGCCGAAACGGTAACTGTGGTTTCTCTGCGAGAGTTCTACAGAATGCAGTTTCGAGAGGTCTTAGATGCCCTTACTTCACGAATGGGTGAACATCTAACCCAATGCAAGAACGCCTTTTGCCACTGTTGAAGTGCCTTAAACCACCAATCGATGGAACGTGCATTCATTCTGCTGTCTCGCTATTCCCACCATCAGAGACGCCTAATCCATTAGCGCTTGAAGCCGAATTACAAGTGTTAGCCGAATTATTGCTTACCGATGTTGGTGATGATTAAAGCAAGGTAGTTGAACTCAGCGAAGCCAACAAGTCGACACTTCCGCCAGGGCATTTTTTAAGAATTCGTCAGTGGGGGGGCCATCTACAAAAAGGGACCATACTATACAGAGTGTGGAGCAATGATAGATGGTTTGTTGGTAACAAAACGTTTGGTGTGGTATCGCATTTAATAGTAGTGTGGGGGGTGGGAGAGCAGGGCCGTAGGAAGCTTCTTTCGTTTGGGGGCGCTGAAAGCGAGGGCCGAAGGCCCGAGGAAATTTTTAAATTTAGAGTCTCTGAAATGCCATTTCCTGGACTTTGGGGAAGATTTGACAGATTTCTGATTGTCAAAAAACAGCGTTTTTAGTATGTGGAAATTTAGAGTTCAGTAGTACTAAATGGGCGAAAGTGTATTTAATTAACGATATTTTGGATAAGTTGCAGGAAAGTATGGGTAATATCTTCATTCTTTGAAGTCTGTCATGGATTAAATGATAAAGGTCTGCATGATTTTGAAAAATGAATGATTATTAGCAAATTATTGGGGGCTGCAGCCCCCCAGCCCTCCCCCCCCCCGCGGTTGCTACGGCCCTGGAGAGGTCTGGGGTTTTCTCTCCCAGAAAATTTTTGTATTCTTCTACCCCTATGACTGCAATTCCCTGCATTTTCTAAAACAGATTTTTGGATATACAGCATTACATTATGCTGTAGATATAGACTGAACCTTCAGTTAAGTACTTGCATAGTATGTTTATGTAGATACCACAACTTGGCCGTCACTTAGGGAGCCAGCTTGATAAACTTAGAGTTCCCGACTCCCACGAAACGCCACCATGGTTGGCACAGAGCGGAAAAATTTTGCAAATTTTGTGTCTCTAAATCGTCGGAAATGGCATTTTCAAAGTCTTCTATACGTCTTTTGTTAGGCCTTTTTCATTAATTCGTTCATTATGATTTGTGAGTCTATGATATCCACGAGTCAGGATGGATTATTACGAGAAATGTTATCAAAATATCGATTACAGATATTTGATTATATGTATATATGATTTCAAATACTTCTAGTTTCGAAATCAAATTGTTTTTTTTTGGTGGGGGGTCAAAATTATCCCCCCCCCCTTATAAAACACTTAGTTGAGGGCCTGTTGTCCCCTGCGGTCACTAACTTGTCCAACAACTCAAATCTATAGGGTCTGGGAAATGCAATCCACTGCCTGGGAAATGTTTAAAATCTAATAAGGTATTTATTAAACATAAAAGACAGGACATAAGATTCACAAAGCAAATTTCAGTTACTAGAATATCAAACCTCCCTTCTAAATTTCATGTTTTGCTTATATTTTAGAGAAAAGGGACTTTGACTGGGGGGGGCCAAATTGGTTGAGTGGGGGGGCCACCATGGGGGCTGGGGGGGCTTTGGCCCCCCCAGTTATATAGTTAAAAAATGCCCTGACTTCCGCTGGCAAACTTGGCAGTCCGGTTGATGCTTACAGCTCCTGTAACGGTGGCGTCAAATGAACGCTCTTTTAGCAACTTGAAATTTGTTAAGAACAAACCGCGAACATCCACATACATGTCCAATACTGTCGGATCGTGAAGCAGCTTCACGATCCGTCAAATTCGTACGGACGGTAAACACGAGTCACGATCCGTATCAACTCGTAAACGCAATAGGTGGTCTCCAATAGCAAATGCTTGTTGCCCAGATCTACAGTACCAACAGTTCGACGGATCGTACCGCTCGTAGCGTTCGTACGGCTCGTAGGACGATTCACGATCCGACAAATCCGTACGGTCCGTACGAACTGTGAAATGGCTTTACGGACCGTACGAAGCGTACGGTTCGTGAAAATGATTTACAGATCGTGAACCTATAATAACTTCAAACATTATAATATGCTGTTTGCTATATCAATATAATATGTTGTTTCTGCGTTCTTAAAAAAACACGCAATATATCAATATCAGTAATATTGTTGCTCCGTTCTTAAGAAACCACGCAAACAATATCAGTAATATATATTGTTGCTCCGTTCTTAAAGAAACCACGCGATTTACCTGTATATAATATGTTGTTGCTCCGTTCTTAAGAAACCATGCAATATATCAATATAATATGTTGTTGCTCAGTTCTTAACAAACTACGCAATTTATCAGTATAATATGTTGTTGCTCCGTTCTTAAGAAACCACGCAATATATCAATATAATATATTGTTGCTCCGTTCTTAAAGAAACCACGCAATTTATCAGTATAATATGCTGTTGCTCCTTCTTAAGAAACCACGCAAATATCAATATAATATGTTGTTGCTCCGTTTTTAAGAAACCACGCAATATATCAATATAATATGTTGTTGCTCCGTTCTTAAGAAACCATGCAATACAGGGTGTATCAAAATACCTGCAAACACTATATAATTTGCATAATTCTACTGCTTACTAGCATTTCAATGTACAGGGTGAGTAAAAAACTGACACCTTTGTTATTCAAATTAGCCGCAAGGTATCAAGGTATCAGGTTTTTTACTCACCCTGTATGTGCTATTTATTTTGCTCCTGCATGAGATTTGAAGTTGATAGAAATTACTCCATGGACGACTCAAGGCTGGCAGGCCTCATGCTCTTAACCTGTGAGAAAGATTTGACTGATACTCTGGATATTGAAGCAGTTGCAAGAATGTGGAGTCTGTTAAAAAAGAGATGAGTTGTCTTATACTGAACAAACATCTTTAATTTACCAATGAATAGATCGCGAACGTTTCATCTCCCATTATTGGTATTAAATTGAAAGTAAATATCGACTATAATATATGCTATTATGCTTATAAATCCGCTTACAGTCGTGCTTGTATAGAAATATTCTAAGTTTGTAATTGTAACGATATATCCATAGTACTTAATATTTTATATTTACAATGAATTGATGTTTTTAGTAAGAAATTGATACGAATTCACAGACACTAAATGTTAACAAATTTAATAAAAATCATTTACATGTCTTTCAGAATATATTAGCATAAAATCAGAAGGTTAAAGGACGATTCTGTAGTAGCTGTATGAAATTTTTAAAAATCATTTAAAATTTAATAAAAATCATTTTAAAATTTAATAAAAATCATTTACATGTTGGAGGAAAAACTCGGCATATTGCACAATTGTTACTCGGCAATTCGACGTTGAACACCCCCCCCCTCCCCCCCATCGACATCCCCTCGCAACGGCCCTGTTAAAATGCAACGCATTTCTTTAAAGTGTATTAATGGTATTCTTCTGGCGTGAGAGGCCGAAACCAAAAATTAGCAAATTTGCTGACGAGATTGTACCATCAGCAAAAGGTTTGCCCAAAAATATTATTCGATCAAGAGAATATTCCACCTTGGCAATTTTATTTCGATGCTTGTATGGTTTCTGAATTGGTGCCACTTTTGAGAGAACAAGTCTTGAACTTGCGCGATTTCGATATTTAAGCCACTGGCCTTATCAGGGCTCGATTCAAGGTGAAGTAAACCAGAAAAAAAAAATTTATTCTTTTTTTGCCATGAATATTTAAACTAAGGCTAAGTCTTTCAGAATATATTAGCATAAAATCAGAAGGTTAAAGGACGATTCTGTAGTAGCTGTATGAAAATTGGCATTTTCGAGATCCCAGATGGCGCCAAATATAAGCAGGAATGACTGAAACCAAAAAGCGTCAAAACTCTGAAAAAAATCGAAAATTCAAAAATCCCAATACATCTCCAGATTTGGTACACAAAGCCGAATAAGTGACAAAAAAATTAGGGTACATGTAGGTTTATATTTGGCTCCAAAGTCAGTGGTATAGGTTTTTACGGTCACAGCCTCTTAAAAGCACTTTTTCAAACATTGAAAATATTTGAAATGAGAAAGCTCGGTATTTCAGACGGTTACTTTTCGCGCCAAACAACCTCAATGTTCAGGTGTGTTGCTCTATAAGAGAAACTTCTTTTAAGAAAGTTAGTTCTTGGTTTAGGCAAAGATAGTTTAACATTATTGCTTCTTAGAGAATAATTATTATTTTCGCATCGCGTGAAGAAATTCTGCACATAATCAGGTAGTCTGTTAGTTAAAGCTTTAAACGTCATAATGATTTCTCTTTTCTTTAAAATGTCTTCAATTGGCATCCAATTGAGACTTTCTAGTATTTGAGTGGAACGAACATCGTATGATTGTCCTGTGATAACGCGAGCTGCTGTTCTTTGTAACTTAGAGAGTTTGTTAAGAATGGTATTAGATCCATCATTCCATATTGTTGAGCAATATGTCAGGTGAGGAGATACTAGAGCATTATACATTTTGATTAGGATGTGTAAAGGAACAAAGGACTTGGCTCTTCTTAGTAATGCAATATTTTTTGAGATTTTTTTACATTGTGCGTCAATGTGTATACCCCACTTTAATTGATCGTTGATGATAAAGCCAAGAGATTTTTTGTTGGTAACCCGTTTAATATTATTATCTCGTATGGCTAATGAAATCTCTGGGTTGTCTTCAAATTTAGTAAGATGATGTCTCGAGCCAATTATCATAAATTTCGTTTAGCGTGAGTTTGTTACATCTAAGCCAACTATGAACATTCTCAAGATCTCTTTTAAGTTTAGTCTCGATTTCATTGGCATCTAAGCCGGCACACGAAAGATTTGTGTCATCAGCAAACAAGTTGGCCTTGGTTGTTTCTAGACACTTAGGTAGATCGTTAATATACAAGAGGAATAGGATGGGGCCAAGGTTAGAACCTTGTGGTACCCCACACCTAATTTCTCTAGCATGTGATTTTTTCCCATTCATTAAAGAAATCGATTTTCTTTTTTGGATGTACGATTCAAACCATGCGTAAGTAGTTCCTTTTATGCCGTATAGGTGAAGTTTCTTTAATAAGATTTCATGGTCGACAGTGTCGACAGGAATGCTAATTTTCCCACATATATAAACAAGACTATGGTCACTAATCCCAAGGTCAACAACCCCGGCTTCTAAGGTTTTATCATCGTCGATATGTGTAAGAATAAAATCAATCAGAGACGAAGAATTATAAGTAGTTCTAGTAGGGGTTTGTATGTGTTGCTGCAGGTGAAAAATGTCAATAATATCAATTAACTTAGAAGTAGCTTGGTTTTGAGTGTGCTCAATAAAATTACAATTAAGATCCCTGGTTATGATAATATCTTTGTCTTCATTATCAATCAGCTTCAGAAAGTTTTCGAACTTTTGGAATAATTCAATTTTTGCACTCGGTGGTCGATACCAAGTTGAAATAAGCACTGGTTTACTTTTGGGTTTTCTAACTTCAATACAAAGCAATTCGAGAGTATCTTGTAATAAATCTTCACGTACGATATATGGAATGATAGTCCTTATATATATAGCTACCCTCCCCCATGTCTGTTTCGGTCAAAACTGACAATATCATAACCAGGTATCTGTACTTCACATTCTAGGAAAGTACTGTCTAATCTAGTTTCATTTAAGGTCAAAAAATCGAAAGGTTCATCGCGCATATAAATAAGTAGTTCTTCATAGTGTTTAGGCAAGCTAGCGATGTTAAGTTGTGCTACTTCGAAACCTTTAAGTT